AAATTCTACAATTTTCTTTTACTGTAAGAATTCTTTCTACATTTGTGAAGATAAATACAGCTGTGAGCTTTCTAAGAATACAATGAAAAAAGTTTCAAGTAGAAATAGCTGCTGAGAAGGGTGATGGTAAGAAGGAAAGCGTGGTCGATTAGAATAAAAGAACTTGACTTTTCTCAGCCTCAAAAAAGGCTGAGAAAAGGTATATTACTGGTTGTAGATAAGTGAAAAGTAAATTCCAGGGTGGAAAGCATCTATTCAAGTGAAAAGATAATGAGTACAATCAGAAGTCAATACAAGCTAACCCTTGTTGTGTTCATGTTAGAAATGAAAAGATTTGGTGCTGGCAGACAGTGGGCCTTCTGGAATAGCCTTGGCTATCAGAGCAGTGCACATGAAAACCTGACTGATTTTAAAATGACACTTCTCCAGGTTTTGAAAGGGATTAGATTATATGGTACCTGTGGTTATCAGGGGACTAGACTCAGTGATCTGGGTTATCCTTCCTATTTGCATGCAGAATAAGATGGATTTGTGCAGAGCATCCCCTCTCAATTGAAATTCAGGAAAGTACATGATTAATTATCTTTATCAGCCTTTTGTCTACAATTCGAGCATCAGCTATTGCAAACCCACCCTTTTCCTGTGTTGTAAGAATGCATACATTCTTGCTTTGAATGGTGGTCAAAGAAAAGCAGTTGTTGCAATAGGTCAGAATATGGTCATGTTCCCTTCTCTCTGTCCTCTCTGACAGCTGAACCTAGAGTAGAAATGTAGGTGATAGCGCTGCCGCCGAGGATCTCTCAAAAGGGGGAAACCTTCCCTCTACATTCACTGACTTTAATGTAAGTACCTTAATGAATGAATGTTAAGTGTCTGACAACCTAATCTCAGTTAAAGAATACATTTTAAGTAATTTTCAGTCCTATTACTATTCCTTATAGTTGTGGAAAGGCTGCCACCAACTATTCTGCTAATGAGATACAACAGAGCTAACAGGTAGACTATGAAACCAAATTTTCCTCAGATTCCTTCCTACATGACAGAACATCCAGGGAAGAATTTCCACAATTCTGCACTTGATTCAGTGCCTGGAGATATGAGAGGAGACGGGAAGCAGATCTGATCTTTTTTCCATTTCCTTGGTGATATTAATTCAAGAAAACACTCTCTGTGCCCCCTAATCCAAGTCTTCCTCTGCTGATCTCACTTTCTTCTCTACAATCGTTAGGCAAAACAATGGGATATTACAATTGGCTTAGATTGAGGAGAAGTTGCTGTGCTAGCTAAAAAGTTGGCACCACACCTTCTATTCAGAATGCTGCACGTTGGTGGTGTCTGTTCAGATAACCTCTAGCTACAGTTGAGTAATACCACAAATGGGGAAAACCCTAGAGAAATAGGAAAATCCCTAACTGTTTGTGCATTGTGTAAGTATATTTTGCTTAGGCTCTTTGCCAAAGAAGATATGAATCAAAGATGCTCTCTGTATAGGAGTAAAGTGTACTGTCATGTTCAGGATCTTATTTTTGCATAGAAGATGCCCTTGGCATTTGTGAAAGGGGAAGAAAATTTCCATTCTGGTTTTAGTGTGTTATGTTTTTCTATTACACTCATCACTGAAAATTCCTGAAAACAAAAGATATAGAAAATGGGAGAGGAAGTTGGTTAATTCATTTGACTTCTTCTTTCACACAAATGGTCTCTTTGGACTATTTTGCAAAGTGATTGTAAAAGAAAATACCACCCCCACCCCCTTGGTATTGTACAATAAAAAGAAACATTTATTAAAAAAAAAAGGAATTGGGCTGTGACCAAATGTTGCTGTAACTGGCAAGTGTTTGTGCAAATATTTGATTATTTATGTAAACCTTCCCAATAACTCCTCACCCAGAACAAAACCAAGTGCCCAAGAATGACACAATGTCTTCCTACCAGAACAAAAGTCAGTAAAGGATATGTTTCTTTTTTCCCTGTGAAAAAGATGAGAAAATAAATGCAAAATTTCAGATGATAGGATTTCTCTGAGCAGTATTGAAAATCAGTAATTAATTAGGATATACTAGAGGGTATAAAAGGATTTCTGCATCTCCCATAGCCCCACAGAAGTGGGTGTTTTGTTCCCCACTCCCCCCCAATGTTTGTAACTTAATTAATTTACATACTATTTCCATTTTTCAGGTGTCATAATAGGGACTCCAAAGCATTGACCTTATTTAAGTAAAAGGCCAAATCTTCTGAGTTTTGTGAGATTTTTGTTGTTTAGTTCAATGGGATCTTAATTTTTTTAAATGTATTTTTTTCCCCTATAATTGTAACCAGAAAGAATGGTTAGAGAAGGTATTTTAAAGGTGCTGTTCTAAGAAATTTTGATTTTCAGTTGGAAACTCTGTCAAGCCAGCTAACCAAAATATTTCCAATAGTCTGTCTGCAAAATGGGAAGTTAAAAATACGGAAGTAATTTACTAAATTATCAGCCTCATTAGAGATTAATTTCTTCCAGTAAGTAATGGCTGAGCAAGTAGTTGATCCAACAGTTAGGTTTTCTCACCAAGAAAGTGAGTTCCCTAAATAACTCACTTGATTTTTTGCAGTCATTTTGTATATTTGTCTATTCCATTCCCTAGGGCCACGGAAAGCCTCAAGTAAAGAGACTGAATTCAAATTTTCCTTCAGCATACTTCAGCAGGATTTTATGAGAAATAATTTAAAATTGGGACTTTGAAACAGCAGTTAAAATTGCAGTAGTTTTATATGAGCTGACATGTTCCACTTCTATTGGTTTAGTGTTGTACTGAATAATTCAGAAAGCTATAGTCTTTCTATTGATGAATATGCAGAGGGAGAATCAACAAGCTACCAATGAAGCTTTTTTTCAGTGGTGGGAGGAGTGGGTGGTGGGCAGAAGGAATAAATAAAGAACAAATATTTCTACGACGTGTTAGAGCAGAAATTAGGTCTTACCAGTTACACATTTTAGTTCTTCAGGGGGATTTGAGGAAATTTAAAAATCATTGAAATAGAAGTGTCCCAGATTTAGAACAAGTTTGGTTTCTTTTATAGAATCATAGAATTATTTGGGTTGGAAAGGACCTTTGAAGGTCATCTAGTCAAGCCCCCCAGTAGAGAGCAGGGATATCTTCAACTAGATCAGGTTGCTCAGAGTGTATCCAATCCGGTCTTGAATATTTCCAGGCATGGATCATCCACCCCCTCTCTGGACAGCCTGTGCCAGTGTTTCACCACTGTCATTGTAAAACATTTCTTCCTTATGTCCAATCTGATTTTACTCTCTTTTTAAAAATCATTATCCCTTGTCCTATTGCAACAGACTCTAATTCTATGAGTGTCAATATATTATGCTGTAGAAGCAGCCAAAGCAATATCTTTAACAATGTCATAAGTAACTTTTATAAATCTTCAGTCTATGAAAGTATATGACCATGTCTGTCTTATTATAAAAGGTGTTTTAAAATACCACCTTATATGCATTTGCACTTTTGTGAGTCATAGTGACAAACTGCCAATTGTAAAAGATGACAACTTACCTCTAGAAGTGAATATTAAAAAATAAAAGTACCAGAAGGACCGAGGAATATGAACTAATACAGGTTAGTGGTCATTGGTTTTCTAAAGGCGACCTTTAAAAAGGAGCTTACCTGGCTCCAGTTAAAAGCAGCGACGAGGGACAGAACACAAACTTCTCAGGTACCTCAGGCAGCTCCAGAGGGGAACTAACATGCTGCCATTTCTCACCTGCAGCAGTAATATGGCTTTGCTCTACAGCTGTATTTCTGAGGAGGACAGAATTCCCTGTGGATGAAAGCCTCGTGGAACACCAAGTAATAGTTATTTTTATGATGTGCTAATGCTTATTACCCAGACTGCAGCCTCTGTGTTTGCGTACAATTTGGGAACTTCTAAATGTCCACCAGAAGACTTTTGCTGGCTCTAAAACTCACAGTTGGTTGGCTAGTCGACAAGATCCTAAAATGTTTTAAAAGGACTGAGAACTGCTGTTGTGTTTGAGAGCAGAGGAGACAAGGTGGTGCCTGCTCCTTTTGTGGGTGTGATGAAAGTGTTCCTGTCAATAGGACACTGCTTTTAAAGGAAAGAAAATGGGAACATATATTCTGTATGCAAAAGAATACTGGTATAAGGGCTATGCCAGAAACTTGAATGCCAGAACAGCAGGAAACAGTATTTTCTGGATAAGCAAGAGCCTTTCTTTAGAATGTCATGCATGGCATGACATTCTAAAGTCAAAATAAGATTTGTTATCTTTGTACTCTACAGAATTTTACTGTGTGGTTAAATGTTTATTTTACTGGGAAAATGAATGTAGTCTGCCTGAAAGATAGCTGGAAGCTTGTTAAAATCTCAGTGCCAGGTTCACTTTGCCTCTTACAAAGTCACTTTCCCACTTGAACACGATAAGTACTGTGCCTGAGTAATTTTATTTTCAGGCTTCTGAGCCAGATCTCAGAAATAAAAAGGCAAGTCTTATTTCTAAACTTCATTTGCAATTAACATAATACTTTCTTTCTAGTGGGATCTTCTAAAAATCATATGATATTCAACAGTGTTCTAAATATCTTACGTTAAAAAATTACTGAGTTTCTTTGCCCTGGTATGAAGCAATCCATTGTAAAGTTTAATGAAACAATGCATAAGCTGTTGGTCAGTGGGAATGGCAGTGCCTGATAAAATGCTGTCTGTATTTGATGGAACTGTTACACTTGTTAGAACAATTACACACCTCAGTAGGAATATGTGAAAATGAGGATAATGCTGATCTTGTGTCTCCATACGTATGAGGCTGATATATGCAGTAGTGATGTGCATTTTCACTGTATTTGAAAAATCTTTTAACCTTGAAAATTATTTCTATTGTGAACTATGAATATGATTACCTGTTTAAGATATAGTTCGTATTTGTGTGCAATGATTTAGCAATATTTATTTTTATTGTAGCTTTTACAATATTTTGTTTCTGTTTACAGGGGATTCATTGTAAAAGCAAACCTTCCGGTGAGTATATGTCATTCACATTTTTATTATATATTTTTTAAAAAGATAATTTATTAAAGATAATAAATCCACCATCGTAGTGACATAACATCACTGTCATGACAGGGTATTTACCACCAGTTTTCTTGTACAAAACATCGGAAATTGGTATGTTTTGATAAACAATAGGTTAATAATGACAATTGTTTTATAATTTGCCTTATCACAAATGGTCATTGAGAGAGTTTGTTTAGTCATGTCACATATTTTTATTGCTTCGGTTTATTATTATTATTATTATTATTGCCTACAGTAATAATACAGGGTCTTGAACTACCTGAACTCTGAAGCCTCCAGCCATCACTTCTCCAGTGCACACAGTCATTTGCAGGGAAGTACAAGGCAGCTGCCTTGCAGGCAGTCCCCCTTGAGAGGACAGTCCTAGTTCTCCCTGAGAGGACAGTCCTCGCTGGAGGCACAGCTCTGAGCACTGCCTGTCTCCACAATGCCTTTCCTGAATCCATTTGGCAGAGAACACCTAGACAGGGAGAAGATGTGGTGCTGAGCCACAAGCTGATGCTATGGTATTGTGCATGAGCTGAATGCCAGTTGTCAATGAGTTGTTATTCTGAACACATGCATTTGTGGGACATGTGTTGAGGTGGACAGAAAGAACAGGATGCAGTTAAAAGTTCCACCTGAAAAAGTCTTTCATCTTCTATTGAACAGAGCGAACCTTGGGTGGCTGGTTCAAGGGCTGTGAATGAATCTTGTTGGGATTAGACATCTGAGCTACTAGTTACACAAACTCCGTGGAAGGTAGAAGAAGAAGCAGAGCTCTGCTAGCTGAAGCATGCCTTAATTTCCTTGAGCAGTATAGTCTGAGGAAATCAAACACTCCAGCCCTGGTTTCGAAGGGAAAGACACCTGTAAATCTGTTGGTTACGAGTTAAAATCTGTGTTGGGTATTACACAAATGCAGATCTAGATAGTGGAGACTCACAGGTACCATGAGGTGGTGATTCATTCTGCCTGTTGTAGGACAAGATGATTTATGTGCTGGGAGGGAGGTGAAAGAGGTTGTCCCTCTCTGCTGACTGCAAGAATTGCTCAGGTCACAGTCATAGCCTGGCTGAGTTTGGAAGGGGCCTCTGGAGGTCATCTGGTCCAATCCCTAATGCAGGGACATGCAGATGAAGCACAGAAGCGTAAACGAGATGTTTCTCTCTTAATTGGATAGAGATTTTGGGCATCGAAGGATCTGTAAACTGAAGATCCCTGTCTTTCAAGATGATGTGCATGAAACTGGCTGTAGGTTTTTCAGTGATACCTGAAAATGACTTATCAGTTGTCTTTAATACAAGTAACATGTAGGATGACTCAGCCTTACAGGGGTGGTGAAAAAACCATTTTTTTGTCTCCATCCTAATTCGCTTGTGTAACAGTGGGTGTATACTCCTTTCCATACTTCCTTTTCTACTTATTAAAAATTATTTTTATTATTTACTATTCAAGGTTAAATTACCTTGAAAGACCTTAACTGTATAGTAGAGGACCTTTGCAGTAGTCATTTCTTTCAGCTGCAACAAAAAGCTGATTTTATTTCCTAGAATTTAGAACCACCAGCCTAGTAGTATTTGGCAACATAGCTTTGACTGCCTTCTTCCTCGTGCTCTTCTAGACTATTAGTAGTACATAAGAGCTACTGTAAAAATATCAATCATTTAAAAAAGCCTTACATTTTTAGAAAATGTATTTGGAACAGTATATCAGCATGCTATTGAGTATCCTTGAACGTCTGAAATATTTTCTGAACATATAACTGTGAAACCCTTTTAATTTACTGTGCATTGCAATCCATTGTGAAAGAGAGGATGTCAGTCTGACATTTAATCAATTTCATAATTGCTCTAAGTACTTTCAAGTAGCAAATTTTGGTATTTATTAATTGAAGTGCACCATGTGGTTATCTTGGAACATATCTACTTTGTTTATGAATTTTGTTGAATAATCCTAATGAACAGATGCAGCAGATACTATGATAAATCTTATGCAAATAGGTTTGAAATACTACTGTAATTTATACTCACGGAATGATATGCCAGTGAAGCAATTCTAGTGTGCTTTAGATATGCTCACAGATTTAGCACTGTCAGTATCATAAGTAGCTCAGATTCTTACAATTGTTGTAAGACACATAAGACAAAAACCAGTTAGGATTTTGCATTGGGTGTTGGCCCAGGCTTGTTATTAATAGGTTTTCTCAGCTTTTTTTTTTTTTTTTTTAAACTTGTTCTCCAATTTCATCTTCTTGCCTGAGGCTTCAAATTATCCATCTAATAATTTCTATTGCGTATTCATTGCTCAGCTCTGGCTTCTATTATCCAACTGTACATAAGGTGTGATTTGCTGTCGTGACAGTTCTGGGTTGATTGCTGCATCATCAGATTAAAAAAAATAATCTCCTGTGGTTGAACTGATGGCAAAAATACAAGGAAAGTGTCTACATGCTGAATAATAAGCCTTGGTTTCTTTATGCCTGGGCTTATATGTGTTCATAATTAAGGAACCTTTTATTAAGCAACAATCCCTCTCTCATGTAGGGCTAATTACAGTTATCAGTCATAAACACAAAATTTAGGAAAGATTTACTCAGCAGATGCTTTGAGTAGCAAGATGTATCTTTATGTCTTCTGGGGTATAGATAGAACTACTTGTACAAAAAGGAAAATGGGATATGTTCCAGAAGAAAATATCTTAAGGGGGGATTAAAAGATGATAAAGTAAGAGTACTGAAGAATTAGTCAGAAATGAGTCTCATGCTGTGATGATTTATACAATGAAAATAATTTTCTGTCAGGTCTTCCTTATATCACATATTTATTTTGATCCAAAGCTAATATCCTCATGCATGATATGATCCATGTAAATTATTATTAATGAGTTTTGCAGAATTTTTTGCAATTCTCAAAATGTATCATAAAATTAATGGTAAAAAATCAAAAGTGGAAGTGTAATTTCATTTTATTCAGCGTATCACATATTTGTTCTCAATATGAAGATAGAAACTGTGGTCAAGGAGAACAGTAGCTCCGCTGACAGAAGGACAGTGGTCCCTAAATCTCTGTTTGTGCATCTAAGGATGCTGATCTGACGTCAGTGTGCACCTGGGTTGACTTGGAATTCTCCTGAGATATTGAGCATCCTATGACATCCTATGACATCTGATGATACCATATCATCAGGCAGTAATGACTATGGACCAAATTCAGTTAAGTTGTAACAGTCTCCCCAAAAATAATATGGTCAAATAATATGGTCAAATGCACCCAAAAAGAATACTTTGTAAAGAACTCTCAGCTTTGACTATATATAAATAGATATATACATACACACATGTACAATGCTTTTCCCTTAAATCATTTCTACACAAACTTAGGAATGGGCAAGATTATGGGCCTTGATCAAGAAATTTACACCAACAACCAAGGAATTAAGCAGAGATAGTTGCTCCTGCATACCACTGGGTATCTAAAACTGCATGACTTATGATGCAGTCAAGAAAATATCTTTTTGAGCACAGAGACAGAGCTAAAACTAATCCTCACCTATCCCATTATTAATAATAGTTATCAGGTAGTTCTGCAATATAATAACCTCCCAGTTAATTGTGGGTGGATTGGTTGGGTGTTGTACAATAACTTTCCATCCTGAGATACCTTCAGGATTATTACACCACCCATTCTTGGAACATGGAACATAGTATTCACGCCTGGCTGCTGTGCACTGTTTTTCTTAGGGATGTCTTAACTCTGTGGAAATGTTTATAAATTCTTCAAATTTCAACGTAGTCCACTACTCTTAAAGTCTTGTTCATATATTTTGAGTGATTTGTGTTTTTTCTTTGGTTTGCATAACTAGTTGCCAATATTTCTTTAAATCATTGAGAGTTGACCTACTGCCAGTTGAGGCAAAGAGTCTTCGTTTTCCCTTTTTTTTCTACTTGGTTCATATCAGCATATTCTGTTCCCTCCAAAATATGCTTAATGTCACAAACCCAGGATAATGGAGTGGAGATTTGGGTGTGAAGTGTTTATCTTTTCTGACTTTTGATACGTATCATGCAGGACTTATTTTTCCTGATACCAAGTGTGAGGGCATTTAAGGCCTGACAGATTCAAGCCAAGGTGCCACAATAAAGTTAGTCTGTCTTCATGTCCTGCAGTATCAGTATCTGATCCTTGACAGTGGGTTTCAGCTTCAGCTGGGCACTCTTTTCTTCACTGGATGGGTTGGAGGGATAAGTAAGGATATGCTTTGTCCCTCCTCTACCTCCTCCTCCTCCTCCTCCTCCTCCTCCTCCGTGAGAACTGGGGATGTGGCTTCCTTGTGAGTCAATGGGCATCTGCCCTTGACTACAGTTCTTGGTTAGACATTAGACATTGAAGGATGCACCCTTTCCCGATGATTTTCATTAAGAGCGTTATCCTGAGTTTTATGGCAAGAACGGTATTGTGGCACTGCTGTTTCATACTTTCTGCCATACTAGTTGAACTCCTTCTAGGAGCATGTTAAGCACTATGACTAATATGAATCAATTTTTTTTGTTCTTCTAGACTCTCACCAGGGGAAGAAGAATGTGCAATAAAATACTTTGTTTTACTTGGGTGGTTTTTAAATTTCACGCTATGTACTGAATTGAGAAGGTTAGGAAATATTTTTTAAAATTGCTGTGATGTAATTACAGCTAAAAAGATGTGTGCTGCATTGCATACCACAAAGCCAAGGGACAAAACCTAATTCCCTGGCTATTTATTATGATAGTTTCTTCAAAATTTTTGGGACTAGAAATAGTGGAAGTGGAGAAGCTCAAGGAATGCATTGAGGATTAAATCCACAGTATCAACATAAATTCATAAATAAATAACTGATTTCTGTGCAGGGCAGCCAGAGAAGTAGAAAGAGATGAAATATGGCAAACTGATGGGGCCTTTAACACTCACCTGCAGAAGCTGCCTTTGCAAACTGATGTTTTAAGGCTTTAAAATCACTAAATTTCCATAGGGAAATAAGATGAGACAGATAAGATAGTAGCTGTGTTTTGTGCCTACTGATTATTGTGTTCTGTGCCTTGAAGAAGAGAAGCCCTGGATAATATTAATTCTGCTCTTGCTGTTTTGGTCTAAAGCAGAAGGAAATCCTGTAGGTGTGAGGGATTTTTCCATGAATAGGAATGCAATGGTGCCCTCTTGTGTAAAAGTGATATTTTAACAGCAATTGAGACCATCAGAAAATCCTAAAATTAAATCCTAAAAGATATGAGAGTGCTTGCAGTATACAGGTAATGGTTTTGAAAAAAGTTTAAATAAACTATTAGTTTAGCCATGATCCAGCAGATCTGATTATTTAGAAACAGTATTAGTCTAGGTGTGTTCTGCTTAACTTAGCTACTACAAGTGTATTGCTGCCTCTTGTGGGTTAACACTTTCCTAAACCCAGAAATTTATTATCAAAACCTCATCTGTACTGTGGTTCTTTCCAACCCCCTGCATTGCTAGTGAAGCCAACTAGCCAAGTTAGCCTTGTGCAAGTCTTAGGTAAAGTACTGGCTTTGCGAAATCAGTGATGACTCTCTACTGATTTCAGGAGAGCTGGAGCTCCACCTGTGTTTCTTTGTCTCATCCCGATATCCTGTGTGCAATGAAGTTTCTCTGTTTGCATTTGCAGGTGACATTTTTAACAGCTTCTGCCGTGATGCTCCTGCATCTTTATCTTCTACAGTACTGAAAAGCATGAAGATATCAACAGTGATGAAATGTGTCCAAGGAAGCCCATGCTCTCTTCATTTAAACATTAAAGGAACTCTGAGTCTGGATGGTAGGAATCAGCTTTCCAATTGAACCCTGACAAATGAATTTTAGCTTCCAATATAATACACATAACTTATCCTCTACTAGTGCCCCAAGCATACTGATGCCCTTTTCTTTCTTGCTCTGACATGCACGCACACACATACACACAAGAATTTGTTCTGCTTTGGTAACTCAGACATGAGTTACTGCCCCAACAGAAGGAGAAAGAGTTTATACATCTGAAGTTACAGTTCTGCACTAAAATAAAATGAAAGCACACAAAGTATTTATGCATGGTCTATTTTTACTAACACCCTGACATTCATATGCTTGTGTTACTGTTTAGATGTTTCCTGGTTGCTTCACTCAGAGCTAATAAGTTCATTTTTAAAGTTTGCATAATTAAAGCTTTAATTTATAGCAACCTGTGTCAAATCTTTGCTCCTACTCTCATGTGTGTGTTATCTATAATGTCCCTGTTTTAACAGACATAAAAAACATGTGCCTTTCACTTCAAAGGAAAGCTTATGATATGATATATATCTATATATATATATATATATATTTCTTAGAGATGCTTAAATTATATTTTTGAAATCTGTTCCTAACTCATTTCAGAGAATATCCGTGGGCTGGAAATATGTTCTCTATCACTGGACACACAACAGTCTCAGTGCACAAATGTGAGATTCACTAGGAAAAAAAGCAAAATGCTTAATGGAAAGAAGGTAGACTACTTTTTTTTTTTTGAGAGGGTTGTTTTTAATTTAAATGTTTACAGGCCTTTGGAAAAAAGGTTTTTTTGTAACTCTCTTATTTTCTTCTCTTATTGACTTTGTGGAAAAAAGCAACAAACTGTGTACTTAAGCATTGTCAAATGAAACTCCATAACAAAATGCCCTTTTATAACCTATAGTTAAATTCCTTTCCATTTTTGTGCTTCTTCCACTTACCTTTAGGCAAAGGAAGCTGTCTCTCCAAAGCCTAATTTTAGAGTATATCCAACATGAAACTCTATATGTAATTTAATAGTTACTGCTGTCAGTGAGGGAATGACCTGCTATTACTGGACCTCAATTTTTGTCTGCTAAATTACTTTCTGTCTCACAAACTGTTATTGGAGTGAATAAATTTGTGGAAGTTGACATTAAATATTTAAACAGACATTTTTGCCCCATTCTGCAAGTGTTTGTGTTTGTAAAATGCCTAGACTGGGCCTTTTGGTAGTATGAAAGATTTTTTTGCTTTTGAAGTTCAGTTAGCATTAAATACCTGTATTTCTATGCTTTTAGTATTATTTCATATATTGTAGATATTTGGATTTCTGAAATTGAAGAAGATAGCAACATCTTGGATTAGAAATAATGGTATTCTGAAATCCTTTTATTGAACTGCGTCTGCTTCTTTTACATTCTTAATATTACAATATCTGAGACTGCTTCATGCTGCTTGTAAATATGAATAAATCTGAACAAAGAATATTACTTGCTTAACTCTTGTTGACCGGTGGTTTTTATGTATCTGGAAGTCATACATGAACTTGATTTTATAAATGTTTTAAACAGGTACAGGTACAATTCAATTGTATTGAAGTCAATGTAGCACAACACATCTATGTGACCATGAAAACAGTACCAAATTACTGTGAAGTCAAGCTGAGTCAGGAATACTACGTTGAAGGTAGGAAAACATCTTAAACCAGATGTTTTTCAAGAAACATCTTGTCAAAGAAAAAACAAAAAAAAACCCCCCAAAAACACAAAGGCAAAAGCAAGTCCAAATCACACTGTGGGATACACTGACATGACTGATGGTAGAACATGTATGCCAGGACCAGTCTTAGTCTACATTTCAGTGATTTTTTTGTGTGTGTGCAAGTAAAGGTCTCAACTTGCTATAAAACCCTGAGTTTATATCTAAAAGTACATGGAAAACTGAACAACACTATGCATTTGTCTCAGCTGGCCTCCTTGTGATCAGTACATGCTCCTTCTCTGCCCCCAGGTTCGGCCCTGTGTGCTCTCTATCCTAAGATGCAGCCTCTGCTTCTCTGCATGGTTAGGCCATGGGTGGTTTCAGAGGACAAGGAAAGCTTAATAGGAAAGGTGATAGAAATTGATTTTTACTTTCATGAACTAGTTGTTCTATTGCCTGTTTACATGTTACTGGACTGATAGGGTAGCAAATTCCCATCATTTTGGGGTAAAGTGCCTAGAAATTTTCTATAAATTATGCCATGTGCATACAAAAATGTATTCAGCACTGTGGTCCAATCAAGATACAGAGTGGCCAGTGGAGGTAAGTGCAAAAAATGACATGAGACCCCTTGTTTGATCCAGTCCCTGGATTTGTCCTGCCTTCCCATCTCCAGAGCATATGGGGTGGGGGGCTCTTGCCCTTGCCCCTTGGTAAAATGTCATCCCTTATACACAATTTCACACTTTCATTGAAGTAAAGCCTTTTTGTGCTTAAAAAGCCTTTCATTTTCCTGATAAATCCTGGTTCACTATTAAAGCATATATGTACTTTGTGAATAAAGAGGAGGGAAAATAAGGTTTTATACAGCCCCTGTGTTTCTTTGTAAGCCTGGAGTCAGAATGGCAAAAATGCAGAGTTGTAAGGTACTAGGTGAAGAGGTGCAGTGTTATATCTTAGACTGATGCCTTAAACATTCCAGTAGAAAACCCACCCCAAGGAAATAGTTCCTTAAGGCATGTTGTGATACAATCTCTGTGTGTGGGAAGAGTACTTTTCTTTTTTGCTCTTTATCTAGAAGTGAATGTAAATCTACCTTTTAAAAGCAGAATAAGAGATAAGTTTCCTGATAGGAAGCTGTTGGATAATTTGACAGTTTATTTACGCAGTTATATGAATTAAGCAGCACTTAGGAAAACTCTGGCTTCTATTTTGCAGATTGCAGAAACAGTGATGTGGGAAAACATATTCCAGCTTGTTTGGGTGAGCTGATCTATACAACTCAGAGCTGTGAGATATTTCTGGTGACCTACCCCATGACATTTTTTCATACTTAAATAAGCAGGGAAAAAACGTATTTCCAACTACCACTACTTATAATTACCATGCAGTTGATAGGTCATGTCCTGGAAAATTATCTTCTCTGTAATGACCTGGAAATGCTAGGTAGCAGACAGAGATATTTACAACCTATTTAGTACTTAAACTTTTGGAAATAGATTTGTGTTTTTCTGTAAACTTTGGATTGCTGGTTTTATGTGTTGTCTATAGAAAGACCTTATAAATAGATTGAAACTAATTTGCCAAACTGCTATCCTGATTTCAACATACCCATGAATATTAAAAATAAAATTAAAATATCCCCCCACATACTGCATTTGTCTAACACAGTTACATATATTCTATATGTAATGAAGTTACAATCTTTGGTTAATCAGCTTTTATAGTAGTATTAGTGTGTATATTTCATGTATTTGTAAGATTCCAAGTACTAAAGTTGAAGTAAAATTGGTATGTGTCTTGGCCTGTCAGTATTGCGAGTGCTATTTTAAAACTAAATAATATGGAATGAAAATTATTATATATCACAAAATAAGAATAACTTGAAGAATATCAGGATATAAAAATAATAATTTCAAACATCCTAGGTAAGAATTTATAGATGTGGAGTTTCATCTCCATCAAGTTATGAAATACATTTTGTACCTTTTATAAATAAATAAAACTATAAATAATAAATTAATGAAGAAATAGATGTGATAATTTCATGCTTGAATTTTATTTTTCAGCTGGAAAGTTTGATTATAATGTAGACAGGGCAAGGAAACTTATAACAGTGAATGTATCCAACTTTCCCCGAGATGAAGATTATTACGTTCGCCTGTGCCACAAATGGTTTACCTGTGAAGATGCAGGGGCATTTGCTGTGGTGAGTTAAAGCTCACAGCAGTTTGTTGAACTGGTGGAGGGGGACTTGTAGGTGGCAATGCTCATGAAGGTCATAGTTATAGGAAATGACCTTCTACATCTCTATCATTTAACTTTTTAAAAAGTCATTTACAGTCCTGGATTCATGACCATCTTTTTCATTTCAGATAAAAGGAAAGGAATCTTTTAAATCAGTTTCTCTGAAATATTCTCAGCTACTCCCTTGTCTTTGCATTGAGGTAATACAGTCTGGAATTTGGTACATGTTTCTGATTAAAGAAATTTTATTGGGGATTTGTGCTAAGAAAGGAGGAAAAGTCTTTAAACCCAAGTTTTTGACCGAGGCTTATTTCCTCTTATGATTTTGAAAATGTAGAAGTGATTTTTTTTTAGGAAAGACTAATTAAAACATGATGAACAGAAAAAAAATGGGATACAATAATTTATGGAATGTGTTGTGTAAGACTATTTTGACTGATTTTTTATAAGTAATGAAAAAAAGAAAATTTAATCTGACTGAATATCAGCATATCATTTGATATAGTATTGCATGAGAAACTAAAAGAGAAATTGAGGAAGCTGAGAGTGAGAACAAGATAAGTTTGGTAGATAACACCTGCCTGCAGGGCTAACTCAACAACTCCTCTTGAATGTGACTGTGCTGGTAGGGAGATTATTTAAGAATCATTAGAGCCATTCTAATATAAATGTTTTCTTAGAGCCATTCTAATATAAATGTTTTCATCAATGACATGGGCACAAAAGGTGGGAATGTGTTATGAGATTTGCTGGTAATACACTTTGGAGGTGTAGTCAAAATGGACTACAGGGTCAGGGTAATTGCAGGAGACTGGAGATCTTCATATGTGACATAACCAGAGGACAATGGAGTGTGAAGTGCAAGTTCATGTACTGCTCTAATCAAAAGAATTCTAGCTGTAAGATGTGAGTCCTCATTTATAAATAACAGTGGAGGAAGAAAGATGTGGGTGTAATAGTTCATCACATGATGATTAAACTGACATGCTCCCATGATGTAAACATGAACAAAGGTCTAGTGAATTTGATTATTCTGAGCTACCAGGAAACTTTGGGCAAGGTCTTCTTTGAAGTACTGTAAGCAATTCTCGTATCCATATTCAAGAGAGATTAATTCAAATGGAAGATGTACGTAAAAAATCTGGAATGATTGGGGACTGAAGAGATTGTATTATAAAGGACATTCAAAGAACATGTTTCCATAAGCCTAGTAAAACACGTGCAAAGTAGAAAATATGTTTGCTGTCTAAATACAGACCAGAAGGGTCACTTACAAAAATTAAGAGTTTTTGAGCTAAAGCCATTGTTGCTCCAAAGATGAAGGCGGACAAACGTCATTACGTGAATATATTCAGGACAGTTACAGATTTTTTTCTGATAACCTGAGAAGTGAGATTTTTGAATATCCTATATACAGAGGAATAAAATTAACAAACAAGTTTAAAATGATCTTGACAAGATAGAAAGATACTATGTGAACCTAGTTCCTCAGTGAATTTTGGGGTAGGATTTAGCTTGTGGATTAAGATATCGAAATGTAGACATCTGAATACAGATATCAACATTTGAATTAGGTGTCTAAATTCTTGAAGTTAGTGGAGATCTAGTTAGTGTAGTCAGGTGCTTAAGTGACCAAATGTAGGTGGCTCTTTTGGGATATGCTGAACTGCACTGTAGATCCCACTGGCTGCATTGGCTAGATTTTTATATTTACTGTAATAGTAATTTGTGAACTTTAGTCACACTCAGATATGTACATTGTAGGGACCTAAAATCACATATCTCAATATATGAGCTGAACCACAGAATCTCTTCCAAGATTAGGTATTTTTTTCATTCCACTCTGAAGACATGAGATCACTAGAAAGATATTATTCCTCTCAGTGTACATACAGAGAATTCCACAATAGGATTGCTGAGCAAACAGATGGGAACTGTAAGTAACAGAAATGTTTGCACATGAATCTAAAAAATTAGGGTATAGTAGCAGCCATGCACATATACCTGCAGATTAGGTTAAGTGTTACTCCTCAGATTTTAAGGGTATATCCTTTACCATTACAAAGGCCAGGAGATATAACATTATGATTATTGAATGTTTTTTGATAGCCCTAGAAAGTAATGAAACTGTAAGAAACTTCATGAAAATCAAATTGGAAGACTTTCTAAAAGAAAGTGGGCTAAATATAGGAAGAGAAATAGTAGGAATATAATGTTAGAAGGGATCACCTTAGTTAAATGATGAACAATAAAATAAAAATTTAGTGCAACATTTCTTTAAAAAACTACTTCCAAAGCTTTCTAACAAACATAGCACCCTTATCTTTGGTGGAAAGGTTTTCTGTGATATTCTGCCTCAAATGTTAAAAATGTGTCTGAGAATCTCTAACTAATGGTCACTTTTTGGATTTTAGGGTTGGCTGGCAGTTCCAGATGCAAGGAGGATACAACTTTGCCCCTTTGAAAATGGCAAGTACTCTGTGATTAGGCTTTATAGGACTAATTTTCAGCAGCTCCAGTAGTATGCCACAATTTAAAATCAATCTAAAGTGAAAAATCATATATTACAAAACTTTAAGGAAATCATCATATTGGTTTATTTTACTGTGGTTAGACTAAATAACATACTTTCAGACCAAATAGTTCACCAAGTTTATGCCAATGTAAACACCAAGTAACTTTCTAGTAATTTTCCACATTTTCTAAGTCACTCGCAAACTGGCCAGAAGGAAGAAAAGCCACTGTAAGTAAAAGTGTTTTACTGTGTTAAGTCCAACCTTTTTGTTTAAAGCACATGTAGAGGTACCAGACTTACAAACAGTTTTGATTCATGTCTCTACATCTTGAATAACGTTCCCCTCTTTGTGCACAGATACAAAGACGCTATGGGATAATATTGTTTATAACCCATCGACACAAACCCTAGCTTGGGAGCCAGCCTGTCCTGTGCTTGTCACAGTTAATCTATGCAGATTCACGAAGTCGAACCACAACTGTGAAGACATAGAAAACTCTTCCAAAAATTCTACCGAGAAAGTAAGAGCTATGCAGATTAATTCAAACTGTGAGACTGAATGCAATCACTAAAGGCATAATGTGAAGAGATAGACTTTCTAATAAGAACAGTTGCAAATTCCTCTCTTCTTCTCTGATACTTAAAACTATTCATAGTTACAGTCTGTTCTTGTACGCTAATCGCACGATTTATTCAAAATGGTCACTGACTCACTATTAAGAAATAAAAGTGGATATGACTGAGCAGTTAGTAATGTTTGCTAAATTATTTGGGGTAAATAGGATCTGCTTTTCATTTATTGTAGAGACATAATTCATCTATACTGACTTTGAAGTCTAAAAGATAGTTGTTCAAGTCTACACTATTGATGATTATATCTGATTCCCTTTAGAAGAGACATACACATTGAGAGAACAACTTATCTGCAGATAGGCATAATAGGATGGAGACATTTGTCTCTGAAGATACCCCTTTGTTTTTACTAACACAAAGTCTATTGTGATTAGACTAGATTTGAATATTTAATATTGAGACACCTAAAATGTAAATGAGATGAAGCAAAATCTCTTTTAAATCTTTCTGAACATGTAACAGTACTTTGGTAGAGCACGGATATTTTGTACCTAAGGTCTCTCTGAAGTGCCTTCCTCAACCCTGGTCCAATGTCTGGAAATTGTGGGTGCTGAAATATTGTGTCCCTTAGCTCTTCCAGCACTACTACTCTCAAGTTGAAAAGGGTTTTCAAATCCATGTGTCTTGATTGGCTTAATACTTCAGTCTGACGTCTCATGATGCTGAATGCTCTAGGTTTATGATGTTCATTAGGAATCTGGCTTTCATCTTGAAAAGTAGTTTTCAAGCTTTCCTGACTGTGGAGAGAAGGCAGCAAACTTGAAGTGACAACTGAAAATGCAAATAAAATCAAATACAAGTTCTTAATTTTCGGAACTTTTGGATTATTATTACTATGATGACATAATTGGGGAGGGTGTGGGGCTTTTTTGATTAGGAACTCCTGGCCAAGTGTTCAGTGATTGTTCAGATTCATCATTTCATGAGTTTCAACAAAGTTTTGATCTTGAAAAAACAAATTAATTGAATATTACACATGTGAGTGGTCCCTGTGGGATTAGTCATCTGCTGACAGCAAGCACAACTCATTGCTTACAGGACAGAAAAAGAAAAAAAGAAAAAGAAAAAAAAGAGGTTTGGATGGTAATGGTTATATCTGTTACCCAGAACAGAATCCAAGGTTAGTTTATTACAGAGTGTTTTTCTGTATTTACTCGTTGCATTTAATGGCTGAATATTAACATTAATCATATACTAGCAGATTATCCTGAGTTGCGAGGGACCCACAAGTATCATCAACATTCAGAATGAATTCCCCTTTTCTTCTAATTCATTCTAAAAAGTTTTATATTGAATTTGGTCCATTTATTGTACTATAGCCCTGAAAACAATCTCTGTACTGTCCTGGAGACTATTGCAGATTCCTCAGATAGGGCCAGGTCCCCCAGTCAATGCGCACATGGCCACACACTCTAATACTGTGCACAGGTACTGACTTAGGCCCCAAAGCTACATCACTCCTCTCTCTAATGAGGTTGGGCCTTTCTCTGTTGATGGCAATGCTGTCTCCAGGTCTGAGAGGACTCCTACAGAATTATCTTCTGTGACCCTGTTGTAGAAGTGCCTGAGGACATATATTAGGTTCTCAAAAAAAGTTACAGTAAAGAAGCATTTGGCTATGATAGTGTGTTGTGCTCAGTCACTTAAGCAACAGTGTTTATTTAAGCAGAATCACTTATATGTGTAGTAATTGTTTCTATGAGATAAGGCTTTTTATGGTGAAGCCCTTGGCGGGTAAACAGTTGTTAATCAAGAAAGCAACATTTTGTGGATGGCTTAAGTGGATGTCTAAAATTCATTTAACTGTTCCAGAATAGGGATATGGAAAATTGAGAGATTTCTGAACTGTTGGTGGAACATTTTTGGGTGTATGTTTAAATGTTCTGCTGAGTTGTTGTTGAGTGGCAATAAGGGACAAGATGACTGTGTAATAAGAATTTTTCACAGGATCCCCCATGGAATCAATTAATTGAGCTTTAATGGGTCAGGATGACTGTAAAAAACAGTACATGTTACAGATAAAAAGGAAATGATTCAGTAATCCATAGTAATGGCTGTTTCTGACTATTTTATGTGATTAATTCCCTGGGATGTTCGTAAAGTAAAAAAACCAGTTCCTTTCTGAGTAATCAAACCATGAAAATTTTGAATAATTGGTTTTGTGAAACTAGTAAATGAAACTAGCTAATACTGAGTGCTCTGTCTTCAAGCAGGTTAAATATTCTCGTGTGGACACTCACCCAAGACTTTGCATGAAGGTAAAGGGATTTCTTTGTAAAACATATACTAACTGCCTTCTTTCTGTCAGCTCTGGGAAAAAAAAAAAAAAAAAAAGCTGTTGATGTCCTTTAGGATCAATATTTTGTTTCATAGCTCTGATGAATGCCAACTAAGAATGAAGGAAATGTGAAAAATTAGATTAAAAGGTGATTGTTTGGAAGTGCAACAGCAAGGATAGATAGGACACAGGTCAGATTGTGCCCTCTGTTTTTTCTGCTTAAGAAAAGTAGGAAAAAAACATTCTTGGTCAATGCAAACTTTGATGAATGCATTCAAGTTAATGTATAAATATTTCCATATTAAATATTTGAAAATAAAATTATCAATACAAAATTATCAGTACATTTACTGGAGTATCTTTTACTATTCTAGTTGAGAAAAAATGCCACATAAGGGTAATACAGACATGTTATTTTTTTCCTTAGATTACTTTTAAGTTGGTGGAACCAGAAGTTCCTGTAAATTAACGTGTCTATCAATACCTGAAGAATTAGGGGACCTAATTTAAGTCAAGTGTTAGAAGATATCATAGGGCAGGAAAGTTGTGAATTAATCTTCTGCAACTTTCTGGAATGCCCTGATCATCACTAATTGAATATTTTGCCACAGATTGAAATGGAAAATTTGGTTTTCCTAACAGATTTCTCTGATTTCAGTTTACAACCAAACGAGGATCTTGGATTAAATGTCCATTTGCTCATGGAGAATTTCCAGGTAAATATATATTTTTAAAATTACATAATATTATATTGTGGAAAATATTTTAATCAGTCACTAGATGTGAGCCTTCTCTGTTGAGATGACACTATAAGTTGTAAATTAAATCAAAGAGATTTGACAGCTTGTTACTTCTAGGTATCCCCAGTAGACCAAGTGTTTATCAGAATAAAAAGTAACTTATGGGAATCAAAATAATTACCTGCATATCATTTGATAGCACTTAACTTATACAAAAGGCTTTTATTATAGATGTAAAAATTTATAATATAATATATGGTCCTTGTATATCTAAAAGCAAGTCTTTCCCCCTAATATCAGCTTGGAAAATGAGAACTGCTGCAGTTGCAGAGCAAATACAAGTTTTCTTCACATCCCAAACCAAAGCACAGTTCTCAGTGCTTGTGTGTAACAGGACGCAGATGGCCTCATGTGAATCTCTTGGGATGCACCATTCAATCTCTGTGGTTTGTATATATTACTTCTTAAACATTATAAGACTTCTAAACATATCTAACTACATTCATTCATTATTCCATTTATCATTCTGTAACTTGAATGCATGAATAAACCCATGCATGTACATATTGGAAAAATTACTGGAACATTTTAGAAGCATGTAGTTCTAATTCTCATCTCACACTGAAACAAGAAATAAAGATCCCGAAGTTAAATGAGTCACATCAAAGAACGTTAAAGTTGAGTGGAACTTAAATATTCTTTTAATGTCATTTTTGTAGTGTGGTATTTGTATTATGCATATAGCAAATGTTACTGTTTACTATTTCATATATGGGTCACTGATACAGCTGACCTGGCAAATTTCACATCATGAAATGTAAGACTTGAGGCATCAATCCATGATGAACTTGAGCGACTCTAAATCTCACAGCTGCCAAAACAAACTCAACACACAAAAAAGGTAAGTTTTCAGCCAAATAATTTTTTTGAGCCAACTGACTCTGTGACTACACTGCTTCCAACAGCGGGGACAGAGCAGGAAGAGATTGTGGGAGGGTGAGATTTCTTATTCAGGCAGCAGCTAGTCATGAAATGAGAGCCTCATTCCTCTCTTGCAACTAAACCTATATCTCACACAGTTTCAGTGCAGCACTGTGGCTTGCCCTTGCCCTTCAGCCCTGCCTGCCAGTTACCTTGTTGGCCCGACCTGTGATCTACTGAGAGACACATCTGGAAAGTGAGGTCAAAGAGCAGAAGAGTGGCTATAATATTAATTTTCAAATAGGAGAATAGTATCAGGATAGATCCTAGTAGCTACTAGGACCACCATGCTGAAAGACATCCTGCTGGTTCAGCAGCCAACTCCTCAGTAGTCTTATGTCCACCCCTAAATGTGTGCTCCTGCTGTCTGCTCCCCTGTCCTGGTATATGAGATGTCATATATGATGGATTTTGAGAAATTTGTGAAATCCAGATGTTGTGATTTCAATTGCTCCTCCTGACTGTGCCCATTGACTTCACTCCACTATAGGGTGATATGCTTTAGAAGACACAAACATGCCATAGGTCCTACACCTGTCCTTTCTTTAAGATATATTCCATCTGCATTTCTTTGCCACAATATGCAGGGAAACACTGCAACTGTGCCTTTTTTCAAATGCCACTGATGCTTTTAGTGAGCAGCATTTACATACCAGGGGTTAGCTGAGAACCAGGCAGTTGTGAATAAAAACTTCTTAGACTTGAAGGGTTGGACACTGAATGGTGAATTTATTTTCTAATGAATCAGTTTAGGTCTTTATTGCACCTCTGGTGCTGAATGTAACAGAGCAGCTGTTAAAATCAGAATTCTCCAACTTAGCTTTGCTGTTCTAGCTTAGGACATGCTAAAGTGGAAGATGGTAACTTGCTCCTCTAGGAGATCACAGAACTGAATACTCATGGGGAAAGGCCTGGGAAAAATCATCTATCCTAATCAACACAGACCAGAGAGGGCATCTGTGGTGATATCAAGAGTCTGTCCTTTTCCTAATGGGAAAAGGTATCTTGGGAAATGATGTATTACTGGTAGAGATGGTGATCTGTACAGTAGAAGAGTTGTCAACACTTTGTTGAGGGAACATATCGCAGCACTTCCCTTCAACCGTCTTATTTCGCATTAAATCTGTGGAGTTTATACTCTCCTGTGTGAATTTCTAAGTGAGGGGGTGATGGTGGAGCACCAATAAATTAGTTAGGTATTGAATTCTGTGTTTCATGGAAGGCACTGATGTCCCTTCCAACTCAGCATATTCTTTAATTCTGTGATTTAAAAATACTGTTTTCTTCCCTCTGGTAAAAAGCTGTTACATTCTCTGTTACTGTGACAGAATGGGACCCCACATAAATTGCATACAGTTCCTGTCTCAACACGATGAGGAGTAGACACAAAGTTTTCATCAAGACCTATCTCTGTGTTCCTAGAAACCAATGCTCATTCTCTACCTAGTAATCCTTGTTCAGTCATGTTTGAGAAAGAACATACTCATCTAATTTCCTCCCAGTTATTTTAGGAGTTTGCCACACTGAAGAGAGTCATGTTGGATTCATAACTATTGGTGAAGTAGCTAACATTATTTTGAGGACAAACCATAATCAATCAAATGTGAAGTGTCAGACCAGTTAATATAGGACAATTTTACCCTAAGGCTCAACTTGTTCTCTGCATACAATGGGATGGGAAGTACAGAAGAACTATAAAGAAAGGGTCATTCCTTTAACTCATGTACAGCTAAGGGAAAGAAGTGAAGATAGTGTGAAGTGAACATGGTGTGAGAAGCCACAGCAGGGAGGATGTCCACCTTATGATGCTCCATGAAATGTAGGAACATTAGCCCTCTCCCTGTGCTCCCACACTGTGCTTGGCAAAGCTAGACTAGCTGCTTATGGTCACTGAGATCTGAGGCTATCTCTGAAAATAAATAACATTTCATTAATTTTTTTTGTCATAGTAGAACATGTAGCATTATTGGCAAACAAAGCAAAGAGCTGGAGAGACACAATTTGTTTTCATGGTATGGGAAATAGTATTTTTCAGTTTCTTTTTTTCTTTATTAGGGAGATTCTGTATCAATCACTATGCCACAGGAAATGTGTGGGTCAACAATTTGTATTCAGGTAAGTGTTTTGATTTTGCCAGTTACTCTGTACAAAACAAATAAACAAATCTTAAAAAGAAAAAGGAGGAAACCAGCAGGTATTCTCTCTGCTTTCTCCTCCAAGCCAAATCTGATTACTGTGCAAATGGAGTTGGCAAAGAGCATTATTTATAGCTTGATGTGCTGCCACCATCTCTCATTGAGATGACATTAATTAACAGAGAAGCTGCTCTCCATGATCTTGCTCCTTTGTCAGTGGCAGATAAAGGGATATTATCTGGATGTTGCTAATTCTGTCTTTATATGTTTCTTTGTAATAAAAAATTCCAAGCTATCAAAACATCCAAGTAAACCATAGATGAATTTTTCAAAAGTTGACATTAACTAGAAAAGGTGAGGCATATAGCAAACAGCACAGCAAGTGCATGGTGTGCTAGAATTAGCACTCCTGAAAGCAGAGCTGAGCAAATTATTTCTGACACTTTTGCACACCATTTATATAGCTGAACTTTAGTCAGACAACATTAATAGAAGACGAGCATGAAGCTGATAGGTTTATTCCTCTTTGGAGCTGTGGTTCTCAGCAGACACCAGGAGAAAAGAGACTGACAGCTGGAGCTGCGAGGCTCCAGCAGCTGCCCTGGAAGGCCCTTGTCAGCTTCGCTTTCTGCTGCTAGGAAGAAAGAGTCAAGATGAAAGTGAGACTGGCAAGAGCCTTCTGAGTAATGAGAGATGTTGTTCTTCTTTCCCTAGTAAGAAATCATATTTGGTAGTAAGACTGATATTTTCCTGCATAAATTATTTATTTTGTAAATAAGACATCTGTCAGCATACAGTTCTCCTCACCCCCAAAAATATGATTAGTTCTTTCATATACAGATGTAAAAGTGATTGCACCTCACTTAATGTGCACTAGACCAGCAATCTCCATATGTGTTTATTTAAAACCAGATTAAAAATGCAGTCACTTGAGTAAACTAATAAACAATCTCATTTTGTCAGCACAAGTGCTTAGTAACAGTTCTGCTGAAAGGGGAATAAGCCTCAATTCTTTCTTTTAAAAGGGCTGGAGAACAGATGTAGATTATTCAGTGCCACTGCAAATCTGTGATACCTACTGTGGTAAGTATGCATGATAACAAATGAAGCATTAGGTCTTGATTCTGTAGAAGAGAATATCTCCAGTGAAGTGTGTTTTTACTGGGAAACTGAGGTAGGATTCACTTGACTAAATGCAGATGTCTGCCTGAGAGCTAGATATGCTCAGCTTCCTTTACAGACAATGGACTCATACACCTCAACTAGCTTTTAATTAGCTACTGCAAGGGCAACTTGTGTGGCTGGTTGCTGTCTCTGCTTCCTGGGAGAATTTTCCATCCTGTGCCAAGTTCCCCATGCCACACCTATATTTACCTTGCTGTCAGTACATGAGGTAACTATTTAAAAACCCTCCTTGGCAAGTAGGCACACAGTGCTGTCATTGCAGTGATTGCAGCACAGCCCTACTTGTGAGTTCCCCACCTCTGCAAATTGGACAGTAGCAACTGCCTTCTCACAGAAGTATCCTGAATATATTATTATTATTTGAGGTACACTCAGATACACCTATGGGGTTAGAATATTCTGAAGTCTCTAAACCCTGAAAGTAAGGCATTTTAGAAGTTAGTGAGTTCAGAGCAAACTAAGGCTGTGGGGTTCACAGTGAGGAGCACAGAAGTGGATTGACTAGTTTAGCACTAAAGAGTCTGAAAGGAGTCAAGCAGAGAGAAGGCTCAGTTTGAGCATTGCTAAAAACACCTCTTCCCAAACCCACACAAACAGCCAACCTCCCTCCCAGTTCATTGCAAACACAGTAATTCCTATGACAGATTTTCTCTGTTGTTTAAAAGCAACTGTCAGTTAACTACAGCTTCAGATTTGGAAGCCTGATACTAAAAAGGAGAGGGCTTAAATTTGTAGTCTAAATGTAGCTCCCTGTGCAAACATTTGTATAATGCTAGTTCAAGTTTCTTCTCAGTTGAAAAACTCATAACCAGCCTACTCAAGGTGAATCAATCAAATAATCAGTGTTGTGGTTCATGTAGTCTGGACTGTTTTTCATTATTCATATTTTCCATTTAACAAATTGCAAACAGTATGACAAAGGCATGTAAAAAGGCTCCAGAGATGGCAGTCTGGGGTAGTCTTATAGTAGGAGAGACTGGGTCTGCATAGTAAATGAAAATAGTGGAACACCGAAAACTGACTCAAGAATTTTTTGGATGCAGTGTTTGATTTAAATGTTGAACTTTTTATCACAAGTTTTTTTTTCCTGAGGAACAGTTTGTGGAGATTCAGAAAAAGTATATAAGAAACTGTGCACTTACCAAGAATATGTGTAATGTGTAATATGTAATATGTGATCACTATGCTTGTTGCACATAAACCTCATAGTTCATGGATTCTGCCATAATTTGGTTTTGGGAGAACGTGTTAATTATCACTGAGGGTGATAATTGTAACACTGAGATGCTATTGCAGTTGGATCCTAAAACTTCGCTCTAAGATAAATTATTCACATAAAGGTGACAGAGATGGGACACTGTACTAAATTAAGATCTGTCTCATAATGCTGTGACAATACTGGGTTATGCAAAGGCTTGTCAAGGCATCAGCTATTATCAAACTAATATTTATTATGCAACAGTAACAGCATTAGTAGAAAACACTTAGTGTGTCATCTCTGTAAAATGCTTACTTTCTGTAGTAAAGTTATTTCTTAACCACTAGCCTGTTAAAATCAGGAAATGAAAGTTTCTTAAAGACATCACTGAGGGTGATAATTTGTTATACTGAGATTGCAGTGATAATAGTATCTGTTATTAAAAAAAAAATCAGTGTAGCTAACCATCATGAAGGGTGCTCTCTTCTCGGCTTCAAGGAGTGCTTTCTGGCACGTAGAATGCATTATTCTGCAATGGATTGCATTTTTATATAATTAGCTGTACTTTGGGAATTAGAATGTCTTACTCTTATTTGCTCCACAGTGGATGAAAATGGGAAAATAATGAGGTTTTTTGTTTGGTTTGCATTTAATAACAATGTAGAGGCAAAACTTTGTGTCCTTTTAAATTTTGTGTTTCCTTTGACCACTTTTCTGGACTCAGTTTAATAAAGCTAAGCATTTTGAGACAGTATTTCACCTATTAAAAAAAAACAATCCACAACCCTTATCTATTCTGAATGAAACAATAACCCAGATCAGTTCCTGTGAGAATAAATATATGAATCATAATGAAAACAAAATGGCAACCTACAATTGAACTTGTTCCTTCAGGTTTTCACAATCAGTCGTATGGTGATGGAAATCCAGCAAAGGCCATGACACACAGGTATCCATCCAATGTATAGCTTAAAACATCTCTGAGAGTTGATAGAGTTGTTAATCTTGAAATAATATCATTGGCTCCTCTATAGGAACAGAAGCAATGTCTCAGAGAACTTTTTATTTGCTAGAAAGAATATCAGGTCCTTATCTCTCCCTTTTCCTTGTCCCCACTGAAGATATTCCTTGCTCCTGTGCTCTCTCTCCTCTTTCTCTCAATTGCAGTGTAGTTTGGCATCAGAGGTAGCTGCCTTGCTATGAAAGAGAGGACAAAGGGAAACAAAGAACCAGTGGAAATAACAAGTTTGTAAACTAACAAGACAACCTTCAAGAGTCCTGGAACAAGCTCAGATTTGCTGAGCACAACATGCACATTATTAGCACAAGTCCCCTGCTTTCTCACTGATGTTTTTGGGCAGATCAGTTCCCTCTCTCATTAGACATGTCTGCTCAGCTGTTCCAGTGCCTCTTGTCATTCCCACAGCCCTTTGCAAAACACCTATTCCAGGCTATAGACAAATCAGTAATTAATGCAGCCCATGCATACCCTTTCAGAGCCAACCTAGAAGAGTGGGAACAACCTAGAACTCCAGAGAGAGTAAAGATGCTCTGACAAACCCTTGTACAAAGATGGGGAAAAGATGCAGCCTTGCAAAATCTATGCAAATCATGTGGTTGAGAAGGGGCTACTGTCTTTGTTTTGAGGCAGTCTTTGGCTTTTCCCTTGTCAGAAGATACCATTCAGAATAAAGTAGCTTGGTTTTCTTCATTTGTTCATCTGATCACTGTTTGAAATGTGACAGTCAAGTCCACAAGCTGTAGACAAATGGTTAGATTTGTTATTTAATCCAACTAAATATGAATGCAATGAACTTTTTCACACTTTGGAGAAAAAACCCTGAACAATCTTCTTTCCTTTTCTGTTTTTCCCCTAGGATGAAGAGTGTGCAGTCCTTGCACTGAATTTAACAACAGGTTTTCAAGGTCCTCAGTATCTTCTCAACATCAAGTTGTATTTTGATGCAACTTGCAAATCTTGTCTAACTGGTCATCTCTCATGTTAGCAGTTTCTGCTATTTACTGTGAGATTATTCTCATGAGTGAAGAATTTAACAAGTTGAGCCTATCCTAAGATGACCAGAAGAAGTTAGATTACGATTCCCTATTTCCCAGTATTACAAAACAAAGAATGTCTTAGATCACTTAGAGAATCAAGTTTATATTTCCCATCTAAAGTAGTACGTTATATAAAATATGCTATAAATAAGTACTTTCATAGGACTTTGAGTACCTACAGAACAAGTATTCCAGATTTTCTTATTTGTTACCTTCATTTTTTAACCATATGCAAAAGTTTTTGAGAAATGAAGAATGGAGGAAGTTTTCTCAGCTTTGTTACATTATTGTTCTTTGTAATTGCCTTTGTTTTCTGATGCCATTTTGATGACTTCACCATGACAGACTATATTCCTTAAATATATGTAAGAACTGTTTTCTGTGCCTGTATTTGTGTTTGACATGGAGATAACTTTCCTCTTTGTCTGAGATGGTACATGTCTTTGGTTTGATAGTTATTTAAAATTGTCTTGTGGAAATCTAGCCTAGGAAGAAACAGTTGAATGGAAAGAACTAGAATATTTTTCTCCCATTATATGAGTATTTATATTCAATTGTTCAGAATAATATTAAACACTGATTATCAAACACTTGGCCTTTATTTCAGGATCCTTACTTCCTGTTGTGTAACAAGGGAATAAAGTCAACTAAAAATGATTAATAGCATATCCTGAAATCATGTGGAATTGATCATGTAACATCAGGAATCTGCATGGAGAATGAGGGTCTGGAACAAGAAGTTGATCAATAAAAAATATTTTCCCTCTGAATGTGTTTTGTTTTCTTTAAAGACATTCGAAAAGTGATTCACAGGAGTATAATATAAGAGACATACCCAGTGTGTTGAAACACAGGACTTTTTGAGGTGCCTTGGAGAGAACAAGTTCTGCTTACTCCTTTGATATCAAAGCTTCATTGTTTAGACTGCAAATCTATTAGATATATTCTCACTCCAAGCAGTGCTACAGCTCCATAAGCAGACGTGGTGGGTTGACCTTGGCTGGATGCCAGGTGCCCACCCAGCCACTCTATCACTCCCCTTCCCAGTTGGACAGGCAAGAGAGTAAGGTGGAAAACAACTCGTGGGTTGGGATAAGGCAGTTTATTTAAAGCAAAAGCAAAGAGGAAGCTTGCTCACATAAAATCAAAGCAAAAGATAGCAGGGTTTATTCTCCACTTCCCATGAGCAGCGATGGTCGCCCACACCTGAGCAGCAGGACTTCAGCACACGTGATGGTTCCTCAGCAGGCAGCCCTTGGAGACAATGAATGCTTCCTTTCCTGCTCCTTTCCTTAGCTTTTATATCTGAGCTGACATCATATGGTAAGGAATATCCCTTTGGTCAATTTGGGTCAGCTGGCCTACCTGGGTCCCCTCCCAGGATCTTGCCCTCGACTGAGAAGAGAATGTTACAGCACTGATGCTGTGCTGCCCTGCTCAGCAACAGCCAAAACACCTGTGTGTTATCAACACAGCCTTTTAGCTACCAATGCAAAGCACAGTACTGTGAGGGCTTCTACGGGGAAATGAACTCCAGCTCAGCCAGACCCAGTACAGCAGAGGTGGCAGGGCAGCTTTCCTAAAGGACTTATTTACTTTCTTTGGCTGTGAAGTTGAGGCTCTGATCTATCCAGACATCTGCTTTTCATTTAATACCTTCCAGACTGTAGCCAGAAACAAGACACTTGGACATTCAACTGAGAGAGCATAATAATATTACTCTCCACTTTCCTCCAGCAGAAAAGTCTTTTCTGCAGGAAAGGTTGATTTGTACGGTGGGATTTTTATTGCAGCAATATCTTAAGATCAACTTTATGAATATGTCCTCAGACTGAAAATGAATTGAAGTGATACAGGTGTATCCAAGGCTAAGGCAAAACACCACCTGCAATGACAAGCTCATATGAGGTAACAGTAGCTGTACTACAATAGGAGCTTTCAATGAGAAGGTCCAGTTTCAGCTGCACAGACACTGAAACTCTTGCAGTATATCTTCTCTTGTTGGCTGCAGTGATGGAAATACCAAAGAGAATGTGACCAGGCAAGGCCCTGATAATTTTGGTGCTGTTTTACAGGAAAGTTTGGATGGTGGACATAGCAGACATGTCACTTAAATTAACTATGAAAGTAAAGTGTTCATTCAAAGGTCTAGACTTCCATGATGGCCACTGCAGAGACAGGTAGTTTCCAGGCATATTTCAGTCTGCTTGGATACTTGTTTTAAAGGGAACTTCACTCAGATGCTTACATTACAATATTCGTGCTTATGGCAACATTTGTAAATAATCCTTAATCGTATTTGCAAACTTTGGCTCAGGTCTGCTTGTTTGCATTTGTGCAGTGAGAAAATTGCTGGTAGGTTTTGTGTTTGACTCAAGCAGATCTATAAGAGTCCTTTTCTAATACTCTACTTCAGGCAAACACTGTCTCTTCCAATTACAGAATTCCTACTCCCCCTGAGACCAGCTCTTCCTGCTCTCCCAAATAGCGACTGGACCATCACATGCATGTGACATATTCAGAAGGAGTTCCACTTGGGTACTATATTTTCTAGAGAAGTTACAGACAATATCACAATATCCTTGTGATATTACAGCTGCAAAAGTAAAGGTGTCTTTTAATCTTTTTTTTTTTTTTTTTTTTAATAAGACATTTTAAACATTGGTAGGTCAATCCTGAAGGAAGAAGGTATGAGAACCTTTCCCAGCTTTTAAAGTATTCATTTCACTCTGCTGACCATTGAAATGTTTTCTTTTTCTCACCCAAACTATGCAACAGTTTTGCAATATTGACCAATGCACAAGTAAACATGTTGTAACAACAGCTGTAAAAATCCCCTATATGTTACCTATAGACTTGGCTAATTCTCTAGAGCCTCCAGTATTTTGATGAAGGAAATTCCCTTCTTGCTTACTGTGGGCCTAGTTCAATCACCCTATTTTGAGACAACCTGCAGTTATTTTTTTTTGTTTTTCATTTCTTATGTACATTCTTGCTATTATCTGAGAGCATCAGTGTCCCAGTTCTTGAGAGATATTAGCATGTATCAGAATATCATTGAGATGTAGCAAAAGCACTGATAGATGCTTTGTAGTAGTCTCTTTAAAAGACTTTTAGTTATGCATAATGCATTGCACAAACCTGAAACTAACATTTAAAGTTAACAGATAAATTAAAGCAGTTTTGCTCCACTTAGGGACTTACTTTCTTGCCATGCCCACACGGAGTCTGGTGTGAGAAACCAGTCTGGTGCTTCAGCAGTATTTTAGATGTCTTTATTTGCAATAGCGGATACATTTCCTTGATACCAAGTTACAGTGCCATGCTTGAATTCCCACATGCCTCATTAGAGTAGCTGTGTATTCACCAATCCACAGCAGATCTAGTCCAGTGCTCTGCAGGCTGTGTTCCTGATTTGTCTCTCTTCTGGACTTCTGATAAACTACTCCAAAGAAATAAATGGGAAGAGAAATAATGACTGCTTTTGTAGGGTTAGTTTACTGTTAACTTCACTTCCTGGACTACAAAGTCCAGTCTATATGAGCCAGTAGAAGGGAAACAGCCCAGCTCTAGAGGAATGGAAATAGTTCTACTCCTGTTAGTTCCTTAGCTTGCAGACAGACTGAATTGTCACGTGATAGCGCAACTTGACCACACGCTTGTGCTTGACAAAGAGAAAAAATATACACTTGCTTCAATTTACTGTGAAAAGTTGCAATGAGTAACTTCCCCTTGTTCATATCCTGTAACAGCTGGCCTCAAAAATTTGTGACTTGGTATCTCAATACCCCTTGTAAGTTTTTTATGGTACACAAAAATATCTTTCTCTCTCATCCAGAATTTCTCTCTCTCATCCAGAAAGCCCTTTAATGCAAACATGTAATGCTGCTGTGTTCAGTGCAGTACTGGAACAAGTCCAGTAGCAATGGTGGGAGCTATCACTCCCATCCCTCTGCTGGTTTTCTACCACTCCAAGCTACTGTCAGTATCACTGGCTCATGCTTTGTGGGAATAGGCTCTTTCACGTGGCACTGAGTGCCACTTTTGAAAAGCTTTAACTAAACGAGCAAGGGTCAGTTCCTGTATTGGATTCACAAGTACCTCAGAAATTAAGATTTCTTAGGAAGCATCAGACAGATCTAATCTACTCTCTATATTATGTAGCACTAAATGATTCCTTAATATATAGCTGATACAATAAAACCAGTACAGCTTATCTACTGAAAAGCAGATGATAATTTCTCTAGACTGCTTCTTTCAACAGGTGGATTTTGTCAGATATATTTCCTGCCATTGACTACATTGTAACAAATGAAATCTAAACCCCCTTCTTTTAAAGCTGTGTAAGTTCCTACCTAACTTCTAAAGATCAGTTTTCAAAATCAGCTTGGGATGGGATCATGTTCCCCATTGCTGTCTCCATATGAGTTCTGTAAGGTTTTACAGTTTTTATATTGTAGCCATATTGTAGAATCAAAAAACTCTTACCTTTGAGCCAATGGCCACTATTCTCATATATTTCAAAGCTTCTAGTAAAATGCTCAGTGGCTGACCACAGACTGCAGAGATTTTCAAGCTCCACTTACATTGCTCATATGCATTATGAAGCTGTGTTTGTGCTTGGCATGAGAGTGTTTGTTTGGGATACGTCTGGGAAAAGAAAGGAAAAGAATGCCCAGAGATAGGAAGACCAAATAAAAGATGGGGACAATGTACTTTGAGTCACCCATGGGCGCAGGTAGGGAGATGGAGTCAGAAGGAAACAATGTATATTGAGCCCACAGAAGGGAGCCCATAAGGGGTTAAGGATGACATGGACATGCAGAAGTGGAGGCAGGGATGAATGGAGGTGGGGCAAAGGAGGTGGACTGGAGGGTCAAAGACTGTGAGGCAGGAGAGGGAAGGGGGTGGTGAAGTTGGCCAGCCCGGGTGTGATTCGCATTGCTGGCTCAGAGCTAGTCCTCACTCAGAACCTCCAGATAAAATGGCAACACAAGTGGAGAGTTACCACACATGTACTGGTCTGTATCCAGTCCATACATTTTCCATACCTGATTGCTTCTCACCTTCGTCGCTATTCTATGCTATCTTGTTCCCTTCTTCATGGGGCACAGTGTCATGTAAGTGGGAGGCAAACTGACCCAGAAACTCCTTGTATGACAGGAGGTTCTTTACAGTGTGCTTATGGGTTTCTTACCTGTAGGACTTCACAGTTTGTTGGGTCCTCAGCAAGTCATCTTACAGCTCAGCTTCTAATTGTGCAATGCTCTGTTGTGAACACAGGAGAAAAGTAGTGACTGTGAAGAATGTAACATACCAACTATGTTTCTGGTTCTTTATAAGGCTCAAACACTAAAAGAGAATTTGGTTTATATTTGCACAAGGTTTCATTCTCTTTCTCCATAAAATACTCCAAAAATATTTTCATTTCAGTTAACAGAAACGAAGAACCATTGTATCAATTCTTTCCTGTAGATAAGTTCTGTACAACTCAATCAACATACATGGTAGCAGCTCTTATCTAAATCTTAAGGTATCCAAAGAAACCGCTATTAAATGTAATAGGCAA